ATTATCATTATCGTAATTATTATTATTATTACTTTCTTATTGTTATTATTATTATGAAAATAAGGGTGATGGTGATGATTGTTATTATCAATATACTATCATATTTACCATTACTATTGCTAGTGTTTTCACACTAATAATTGTTGACTGTAATCAGTGCTGTAACTGTCACTGCCACTGTCAATCATAATTGTCATTGTTATTGTTATTAATGTTTGCTATTGTTTTTATTATTATTATTTGATTATTATTATTATTATTATTATTACTGTTGTTGTTATTATTATTATTATTATCATGTATCATTGTTGTTTTTACCATTATTTTATTATTACCACCATAATTATTATTATTGTTGCCATCATCATCATCATTATCATTAATAATAATAATAATAATAATAATGCTATCATCATCACCACTACCATCATCATCATCGTTATCATCATCTTTACTATTATTATCATTTCCATATTATCATTATTTCTTAATATTAGTATTATGATTACCTCCATCAATATCAGCTTTATCAATATTATTGTTGTTATCATCATCATCATCATCATCTGTATTACCGCCATTATTATTATTAACATCATTGTTATCATTATTATTATTACTCTCATTATTATTGTCATAATATGTGCGCACACACACACACACACACACACGCACGCACGCACGCACGCACGCACGCACGCACGCACGCACGCACACACACACACACACACACACACACACACACACACACACACACACACACACACACACACACACACATATTTGCATTTCACTTCTAATTGACAAATATAAATTGCAACGCACGACTACTCACTTTCGCGGCGTCAAAGTCATTCATGTTTGCTTAGTAACTTCCCCACTTCGCCCTCTTCTCCTATTACTTTCTTTACGTATAATCATTTCAAAATATGTTTGTGTTTATCAATGTACATCTTCCAATCCTCAAGGCTGGCCCCTTCTGTACCCACAGTTGTCATGATGCTTCTTGGGCGTCTCATCCTCGCGGTGGTCATCCTCGAGGTTTGTCGTGCCTTTAAGAACGAGCGAGTGGTCGGCCTTCAACATTTTCAAGATGGCGAAAGTGTTCAAGAAACCGTGCCACGTGATTTTCCCGTGAATGCAACAGAAAATGGTGATAGCGATAGTGAAGAAGACGGAGAGGTGATTCCTGAAGGCTCTCTACTTAGAGAAAGTATTCGGACTTCACCTATATGTGATGATATGGATATTATGAGTGCCAGGAAACTGTGCCCAGATTTAACAAGAAACATTAACGTCCAAGATTTACAACAGTTCACAAACGAGGAGATACGTCTACTGCAACGGTTATATTCAAGAAATCAATACCCTTCGTATGTCAATCAAGGAAATTCTGTCCATATCCAAGGAGGTTTTCAGAATCCAGTTCCTCAAGGGACTAGCACAGGAGGTTCTCATTCTCTGTTAATGAAGAATAAGCCAATTCGCAGGCCCGAATCCCACTATGTGAACCCCCAGCCTTCTACGGTCAACTTTAACATGTTTTCAACCCCAATGCAAAGACCTTCAGTTGGTGGTGAACCCCCACAAAGCCAGTCGAATACTCGGCAATCAACAAGAATCAATTCAAAACTTTTAGCAAATATAACTGCAGCCTCACAGAAATATTTTCAGAACTTACGGAATTACCCCATGATGCAGACCAGCCACGCCGTAGGGGGTTCATATAATCAGCCCAAAAATAACAATAATCCATTCCCTATTCACTATAATAACCATTACAGCAATCAAAACTCACCATTCGCCAACAACCAAGGTTTTATCACAAGACCGCCCTACTCGAGGAACGTCCCAACATACACTACACCAAATGTTCCTGTTCGAAACATCGTTAATGTGAAAATGCCAAATTCACCCGAAAAACACACACAACAGAAAGCAGACATGGCAGAAATTTTGACTAACCTCCAGATCCTGACCATCCTAATGAATCAAGATGCTGCAAGTAAAATGGATGTAAAGGGTGTGCAAAAACTACCACCTGGATTAACATTTGCCAACAGCGATAGTGTGTCAGAAACTATAAAAGCAATGATGACAGACCCAAAAGCTCGGAGTGAAGAAATCCAGCAAAGGCATCCAACACATGGATATGCAAGCAGCCATTCACCCACTTTTAGACCAAAGGACTTATATTCCCACCAGCCAATTGAAGCAAGAACTAGGAGACCTGATATTTTCCCTGGACATTTTAACCAACTTCCTTTTCCCTCAGTCCCAAATTTTTTTCAGCCTCCATTAAGAAATTCTGTGAAGAATTCTGAAAGCAATCGACCTAATCATGTAGGCCAAAAAGCAACAGGCCTTAGCTCTTATTTTCTAAATCAAGGTTCACCTGGACTTCCCAATTTCCATACAACTAGTGGTGTTCCTACCTCCACAGTGCCACCTTCTACTGCTTTTGATAATGTAGGTGCCCTTGTCTCCCCATACACACCACAAGAACTCTTAGCAGAAACTCAGTCTACACAAAAGAACCCAGATAAAAATCCCCCGACTCCCAATCAGTCAGAAGCTAAACCAGAGAATGATCTAGGTCAAGATGAGACTACTGTTACAGAGCAAGAACCTGAAGTATCCACTGATAATGAAAAATTAATAAATCAGTTTGCATGGAATCCAAATTCTGTTGCTCCTGAGCCACCTCTCTATAACCCACCACAGAAACCTCAAGTACAAGGAACACAAGCATCTGTGGATAAACTTGAAGCTCTATATAATTACCTTGCATTTATGAACAACTACCAGACTGCAACTCACCCACCTTCAAATACACCAATAAATCAGAATGACCCTTTACCTAACCTTAATAACCCAGACCTCCTTCTTACATACTTACTTCAGGCACAAGGCATGGGCCAGCCATTACCAAAACCACCATCGGTACTTCAACCAGACACCCCATACATCCCAGCTGTCCACAGTGGCCTGTACTCTGGATTGCAAACTGAGCCACAACCACCAGCTCCCCCTCCATCTTCCGTGGGTCCCCCAGGAGCATCATCAGGTGTGGGCATCACACAGCCACTGTTCACGTCTGGTGGAAGTGCCTCTAGTATTGAAGACTGTCTGAAAAGCAAGGTATGTGCTTTCTTCCTGGCTGGGTTAATAGCTGCCGGAACAACAACAGCTCTTGCTATACCTATTTTTACACCAATCGTTGGTGCTGGACTTTTAGGCAAAAGGCGCAGGAGAGATGTTGATTATCTGGTTTTAACTCCAGAAAATGCTACAGAATTTATTCATGCTTTTTCCAGCTTTGAAAATGGTGATAATGTTAACAAATTAACAAAAGATGAAAAGCGTCTCTACATTTCTCTTTTGCAACAGCTAAATGGTAATTCAAAAACTGTGTTAGCTGATCTAAAGAAGTACATGAATAACAATGAAGATGCTTTATTGAACTTTTCAATTAAAGAAATTGAATACATTACAGATAATCCAATACCAGCAAACTTAATTCACCATTTAAAACATGATAGTTTGCATAATCAGCTAAACATACTTAAGATGTTGATGACTCACCTTTCTAAAAATTCAAATAAGGGAGATGATAATACCCAGAACAGAAAAATGACAAAGGAATTTCTGCAAGACAATGCTCAAGAATTGGAGAAATGGGCAAACACTGATGACTCTGAGAAAAACATGAAGATTGTAAAGCGAGATTCAGTTTATGCAGATACAAATAATAAAGAAAGAACATTTACAAATGTACAAACTGTAAAAGTAGAAATTCAGAGAGAATATAATAGTACTCACGCTAATTCAACAGCCTTGCTATTGGAAGCAGGAAGTATGAATAACATATCACTGTTAAATGTATCTTTGACTGATGATGATAAAAATAAATTCCAAAATGTCACACTTCCTGAAAAGACCCAACAGTCAAATGAATCTCACCAGAGTCAAAGCCAGGCTTATAACAGCTCAGAAGCTGTACCAGGATTCTCCCCGTCACAGGTTCTCAAACAAGAAAATACCCCTGAGAATGCAAATACTGTGCAAAGAAATAAAACTGGAATGGGATCTTCTGGAATTAAGCCTCTTGCCCCTCAGGGTCCTCCATTAACAAAGAACAGCCTGCCTTCTTCTATAAAATCACAAGGTGCTTCATACCAAATTTCTGCCCCAGAGAAGACTGCATATGAAACTGAGCCTGTGTATGGGTTTCCACTTATCATTCCTCTTAAAGAAGTTCCAGGTCATCACAAACCATTACAGGCTAAGATTCACCAATTCTATAAGGTCTTATGCACTGTAATTAATTCCCCAGATATTCCCAAAATTGATATTATCACATTCATTGCTCAACGATGTTTGCTACTAGCATATGCCGGCTTAATTAGATAATATCATTCGCAGATAACAAGTTCAAATCTCCTAACAGTACCTGAATTCTACTGTGAATCAACATTTTCTTTCAGTAGATAATATTCTATTGGATATAAATGAATCTGTACAATAGAAACAAAATGAAAATACACACATCATACCTAAATACCTAGATGACCATCCTCCCACACTCCCATGTATTCATATTTGAAGTAATAGATTCATAGGAATAAATGTTCAGTGATACTGTATTTTTTGCTGTTATATAGGAAATGTGTTAATTTGGTCTCTGTAATTTTATATATTTATACTTCTGTAATGAATTTATATTGGTAATTTATTTTATAACTCATGAATGTTAATATCTCTAACTTATTATGGTTGTATTTATTGTAATGAATAAACTGTTAACAAACTTATTTTTCTCACTGTTTACTCCTTTGCTTTGAAGAGCAACAAAAATATGCCTGTCATAAAGTACTTTTCTGAACCTCTTATGAAATATCCACCAGAATCACAGATAACATCATAGAAAATCTAACCATCACACACATTGCCTAATGAAATAAGCAGTTCATTTTGAAACAAGGGGAAATAATACAACA